CTTAACCAATGATTCCTAATTGCATCTACTTCCGGAAGGCCAAATAAAGTGCTTTTGCTTTCGCACTGAATCACAACAGCGTCTCCCTGACATGCTGCATCAACACGACTGCTGTTCCTGAAACCACGCCTTCTTTCTTTGCGTGCACATTTGGGCGGTGTTATGCAAATCTTCGCACATCGTGACGTAGACATGTGGGGGCGTGTTAGAACGAGCCATTTTAGGTAGGTGTGGCTGACTCTTAACTTTTGTAAAGAATATCTCTTTGGATTTGAGAATTTAGTCTTTGCAACTTTACAGATCTTCTTTATGCACCAAGAGCTTGTAACACTCCAAAGAGAAAGATAAAATTGAAATCGCATCATATTACGCATCATATTATGCATACCCCTTTAAAAAAAGAGGCACAAAAAAAACGATGGATAACATTAATGAACATTAAAAATATTTAAAATAAATATACATACTTACATAGCATGCACATGCTCCTCGGATAGAGGAAACAGCTGTGGTGTGATGAGTGGTGAACGCAGCGAAAACTTTTTATTTTATTTTATTAAATTTTAACACTCTTATCGATAAACACACACCTTGTGTCCTCTGTTTCTGTTTGAGTCCGCTCGCGCTGCGCCGCCGGTGTAGCTCTAAATATAGAGCTGAGTGTCATCAGCATAACAGTGAAAGCTAACACCATGTTTCCTGATGATATCTCCCAAGGGTAATATGTAAAGCGTGAAAAGCAGTGGCCCTAGTACTGAGCCTTGTGGTACTCCATACTGTACTTGTGATCGATATGATACCTCTTCATTCACTGCTATGAATTGATGACGTTCAGATAAGTAAGATTTGAACCATGCTAATAGAATTCCACTAATGCCAACATAGTTTTGTAGTCTACTCAAAAGAATGTTGTAGTCGATAGACTCAAACGCAGCGCTAAGAATCCAGTAGCACTAATAGAGAAATACAACCATGATCGGCTGATAAGAGCAGGTCATTTGTAACACTGATGAGAGCAGTCTCAGTACTATGATACAGTCTAAATCCTAGAAATCCTCGCAGATACCATTTCTCTCTAAGAAGGAACAAAGCTGAGAGGATACTGCCTTTTCTGGTATTTTTGACAGAAAAGAGACTTGAGATCGGTCTGTAATTAACTAATGCTCTAGGATCAAGTTGTGTTTTTTTAATGAGAGGCTTAATAAGAGCCAGTTTGAAGGATTTTGGGACATATCCTAATGACATTGACAAATTAATAATATACAGAAGATCTTTGACTTCTGGAAGCACCTCTTTTAGTAGTTTAGATGGAATAGGGTCTAACATACATGTTGTTGGTTTTGATGATTTGACAGGTTTATGTAATTCTTCCTCTCCTGTATCAGAGAATGAGTGGAATTGTTCATGAGGGGATCTATAGTGCACTGTCTGATGCGATATTGTAGCTGACAGCTGCATGGTTAGAATTGTATCTCTAATAGTATTGATCTTGGAACTAAATAAGTTCATAAAGTCATTGTTGGGAAATGTCTGCACCTGTTGATGCTTTATGTTTTGTTAATTTAGCCACTGTATTGAATATATGTTTTGTTAATTTAGCCACTGTATTGAATAAATGTCTGTGGCTGTTTTAGTTTTCTTCTAAAATACATGAAAAGTAAGCAGATCTAGCAGTTTTTAGAGCTTTTCTATATGCAATACGAAATACCTCTAGTTTTGTTTTCTTCCAGCTGCGCTCCATTTTCTGGGCTCCTCTCTTTAAGGCGTGAGTGTGCTGATTATACCACGGTGTCAGACTGTTTTCTTTTAACCTCTTTAAGCGTAAAGGAGCAACCGTATCTAAAGTGCTAGTAAAGAGAGAGTCCATAGTTTCTGTTACAGCATCAAGTTTTTCTGAGCTATTGGATTTGCTGAGCAATTGAAACAAGTCAGGAAGATTATTTACAAAGCAGTCTTTTGTTGTAGAAGTGATGGTTCTACCATATTTGTAACAAGGAGTTGAGTTTGCAGCTTTAGCTATATGGAGTATACACGAGACTAGCCCTGCGTTCCATTCGGAAGGGCTGATCCCTATGCCCTAATCCCTTCAAAGGGTTTACCCTCCGGAGTGAGAGCTTCGAAGGGTTGAAGGGTGTAGGGGACCGAACAACTGTTTCTTGAAGTGCCCTTCTGCGTCATAATCACGTGCCCAAACGGAGGCGTCGTCATCATGCAAAGAATCTGCGCAAAGGATCATGGGAGCCCGAAGTGTCCATCAGTTGTACCCTTTGAAATCCTTTATTACGAAGGGCCCTTTGAAGTGGCCAGTTTTGAGCACTTCGGTTTGGAACGACCCTTCAATATGGTGGCCATGCTTGTTTTTACTCCGAAGTGCCCTTCGGAGGGCGATATATCCTGTTTGGAACGCACCGAGTATAAGGATCTAGACATCGCTCTGCTGCAGAATTTCAACGCCATTAACATCAATTCCATGTGACAGTATTAAATCTAAAGTATGATTACAACAATGAGTAGGCCCTGACACGTGTTGTCTGACCCCAATAGAGTTCAGAATGTTTATAAATGCTGATTTCAATGCATCTTTTAAATTCTCAACATGGATATTAAAATCACCAACAATTAAGACTTTATCTGCAGCCACCACTAAGTCAGATAGAAAATCAGCAAATTATTTGATATAGTCTGTATGGTGCCCTGGTGGCCAGTTCAAACGTCACCGGGGACTTATCATTAACACTCATTTCTCTAGATAATGTTATATGAAGCACCATTACTTCAAACAAATTATACTTGAAACCAGATCTCAGAGAAATACTGAAAATATTACTATAAATTATAGCAACACCTCCCCCTTTAACTTCTGAACACGACTTATGTTTATATTAGTAATCTTGGGTGGTAGACTCATTTAAAGTAATGTAATCATCTGGTTTTAGCCAGGTTTCTGTCAAACAGAGCACATCTAAGTTATGATCTGTGATCATATAATTTACAAAAAGAGCTTTTGTAGAAAGGGATCTAATATTCATTAAACCAATTATTATATCTGTCTTTTATTTGTTGAACAACAATTAAATTGTTACCCTTAAATTGTTTTGGACGTTTTTTGTATTTGCTAGTTCGGGGAACAGACACAGTCTCTGTAGTATGACATCTAGGAGAAGGAGTCTCTATATGCTGAGAATTAACAGACTTCTGTGACGTGAGGCGGCTAGCAGACGGGTGGTTTAACCAGTCTGTCTGCTTCCTGACCTGGGCCCCAGTTTGTCAAGTACGAACTCTAAGACTATGTGCCATATTTCTAGAGAGAAGAGCAGCACCACCCCAGGAGAGATGAAGACCATCTCTTTTCAACAGGTTAGGTCTGCCCCAAAAACCTGTCCAATTGTCTACGAAACCTATGTTATTCTGGGGTACCACTTAGACATCCAGCCATTGAGTGACAACAGTCTGCTGAATTGAAAATAAAAAAATAAAAACAAATTCAAAATATTAATAAAACCTATAATAGTATATCTCGGAGATACTAAAACATTACTCAATCTAACATAATCTAAGACTGCTCAATTACTTAAACATTGCATGCTTTATTAATTTCATTTATTTGTGCTTTTTTATTTGATTGTAAAGGAAACAGAATCGTTTCAAAACACTTTCATTTGCAGTTGTTTGTAGTATTAATGCATGTACTATTGTAGTGTTTATGAATATGCTGATGTATTTATTATTTTATTATTTTTATATTTTCAGTTTTTATTTTAATTTTAAGCTTGTGATTTTAATGTGCTTTATTTGTATTATTATAATTTTTTTATTTAGCTTTTATTTTTTAGTACTTTATTTATTTATTTATTTTTTAAGTTTTTAGCTTTATTTCAGTTACCAAAAAAGTAATAGCTTTAGTTAACAATAACAACATCATGAGTTTTTTTTTAAACAATAATAAAAAACAAAAATCCATATTCTTCCCAAACTCATTTAAACGCACAGTGTTATTTTAGTATCGAGATACTATTATAGTTTTGTTTTTTTTTTGAAACACTTTATTTTTATATTTTTCATTTAATTTATTTCTTTATTTTTGTCAATTAAAATGAAAATGTTAGAATGTAATCTTTGACATGATGTTTAACAGCATCACAAGTCGTGTGTTTTGTGTTCAGGTAGGCAGTCGCGGGATTGAGGCATCATGGGCTGGCGGGATCCGTGGCAGAGAGGTGATGGACCGATTCTTTCCCATGATTCCACAGCTGCTGTCTGATCATGGCCTTTTTTATCTGGTGACTGTGTCAGAGAATGATCCAGGTTTGTGTTTGTGATGTTGACATTTGCATTCACATCAGTATCTTGAACAGTTTTTGAACTGGACTCGTGTTTTTCTTTTCTAGAAGAGATTGTGGATTTGTTGGGGAAATCAGGACTGAATGGACACAAGTGTTTGTCACGTCAGGCTGGACGAGAGAGACTTTCTATACTGCGATTCAGTAAGTCCTGAATAGCAGATGACCATCAGCACATGAAGACTGTGAAACACACGTGATGTCCAGCTGTTTCTCACCCCAAGGGTTTCTGGGTTTACAAGTATTATTATAAAAATCACGCTGATGTTTTGAGGTTCGTCCCGCTGCTGAACCATCAGTAATTCAGGCTGCGTTTGTTTGCATGAAGTCTGCGGCAGCTCAACAACTGGGTCACAAGGACCTAGTTAGTGTTTCCTAACGGATTGACGGGCATATTTACAGCACGAGTCCATCAGCTGAGCCATTTATCATGTTGATCGTGTCAGATTCCCGCTGCTTCTGTTTCATTCCATCAGTTACACTCTGACTGGCTGTTTTTGAGCAGCGCGTGTTCACTATGGAGTGTTAAACGCACTGAAATCCAGTGTCAGAATACCACTGTCATTAATCACAATATTAAACATGATATATATATATATATTTTTTTTTTTTTTAAATTTTGGTTGTTTGATTCTTTTTTTCCACATAAGGTCTGTTTTACACAAACTGAGAGACGTGTCAACATAAACGCGTATTCAAAACCATATATAATTGAACTGGTTTGTTTTCTATTTCCCATTTCATGTTTTTTGTTTTATTTTTAAATGTCTATATAGTTTTTATTGTATTTCAGTTTGTTATTTTAGTATCCTGCTCACCAAGTCTGCATTTATTTGAACAAATGCAGTACAAATACAATACTGTTGTTTTTACTGTATTTTTGATCAAATCAGTGCAGCATTTATTCCAAACTCATGTACTCTCTCTCTATAAATTATAGATTTACAATAGTTAATTGGAGTCTTCATTACTTATAAATGAACTATTTTTAAACCTTAAATTCAAAGTCGGTATATTGAACGATGAGAATTAAATATTTAATAAACATTTGATACTAAATACAGTTTCTTCTGCAGGATAATGTAGTCCTTATTGGTCCCAAATACTGTAATTTATTATAATAATAAAATGTTGAAAAAAAAAATGCTGATGGCTTAAACAGAAGTATATGCAAATTAATATGTAGATTATTAATAACCTTGGAGTTAACAGTAGGTCTGTAGTTAAAGATTTATAAGTTAGATATGCAGAAAATAAACAGTTCTGGAATAAAGCAGTGAATGGAAAACTCGAGATTTTAATGATTATTTATTCTGTAAACCGTGCCCTCCACTAATATTGGCACCCTTGGTAAATATGAGCAAAGGCGCCTGTGAAAATAAATCTGCATCATTTATCTTTTTGATCTTTCATTCAAACAATTCACAAAATTCCAACCTTTCATTGAAGTAAAACAATTGAAAGTGGGGGGGAAACTCACATTATGAAATAAACGTTTTTATCCAATGCATGTTGGCAGCAAGTATTGGCACCCCTAGAAATTCTTATGAGTAAAATATCTCTGAAGTATATTCCCATTCATGTTTACAGTTTTTGGTACACCAGGGTGACTTAGGATCATGAAATTGTCCAACCATGGCTTCCTGTTCCACAGGATTATAAATATGAGGAACACAAAGGCCAGATTCCCTTAATCATCCATCACAAAGAGTAAACACAAAGAATATAGTTCTGATGTGCAGAACAAGATTGTTGAACTTCACAACATAGAAAGAGGCTGTAAGAAAATCTAAAGCATTGAAAATCCCCATGTCCACCATCAGGGCAATAATTAAGAATCAACAGGAAATGTTACAAATCTGCCTGGAAGAAGACGTGTATCTATATCATCCTAATGTACGGTGAAGAGGAGAGTTTGAGTGGCCAAAGACTCTCCAAGGATCACAGCTGGAGAATCGCAGAGATTAGTTGACTCTTGGGATCAGAAAGTCTAAAAAATATATCAAACAGCCACTATATCACCACATGTTGTCCGGGAGGGTTTCAAGAAAAATCCTCCTCGCTCATCCAAAAACTCCAGCATGTTCAGTTGTCAGACACGACTGGAACTCAAACGGGACTGGCTTCTATGTTCCTATGAAACTAAAAAAGAGCTTTTTGGCAGCAAACCCACCAGATGGGTTTGGTGCAAACAGGGATGAAAAGTACCCCATGTCCACGGTGTTGTGGGCCTATTTTTCTGTTTAGATACATGGCATCATGGATTCTATCAAATACCAACAGATAAAAAATCTAGACCTAACTGCCTCTGTTAGAAATAGTATAATCGTGGTTGGATCTTCCATCAGGACAATAATCCAAAACAAACAAAATCAACACAAAAATGTGTCACAGCACAAAATGAAGCTTCCGCCATAGCCATCCCAGTTCAGGACCTGAACCCTATAGAAAATGAGTGGGGTGAACTGAAGAGAAGCGCCAACATGGAGGTGTGAATCAGAAGGATTTGGAGAGATTCTGTATGGACGAATGGTCTCTGATTTCTTGTCAGGTGTTCTCTAAACTCAGGCAATATAGGAGAAAACTCAGAGATGTTATCTTGGGAAAAGGACGTTGCAATAATTGTGGCCAACATGAACTAGAGAAAAACATGTATTTCATGGGGGAGATTCCCCCCCCCCAATTTCCATTGTTTAAAAATGATTTATTTTTTATTTTTTGAATGAAAGACCAAAAAGATAAATGATGCAGATTTATTTTCACAGCCACCTCTAGGTCAAAGATTAAGGATTATTATTAAGGATTATGTGGAAAAGTGCTTAGCTCCACGTCAGGATCTACGCAGACGTACACACTTTTCTGTGTCCGAATTCTGCAGGTATTTAGAAATTCTTGCCGTTCGCCATTCTCAAGTAAATTATTTGGATGTTGACTGGTGCTCTATTATATGTTAATGACATTAATTAGGGTGCGTTTACAAGGCAGAGATCTGAAACCATTCAGCTGTGCACAATTTCAAGATAATTAGCAATTTATAAATTTCACACCTGAAAGATGTTTTTTGTGTGTACGTTCATTCTCTGAATCACACGTATGCACATTTGAGAAATTATTGTAAGATCAAATGTAGAACAGTTTCTACGCAACATTTTATTAATAAGGCCCCTGGGGCCTCATTTATAAAATGTTGCGTATAAACCGTCCTAAATTTGTTCTAAGATCATTTCTCAAAAGTGCGTAAGTGCGATTCAGAGAAAACGAACGTTCGCACAAAAACACGTGCGTACGACACGTATGCACATTTGAGAAATTATTGTAAGATCAAATGTAGAACGGTTTCTACGCAACATTTTATTAATAAGGCCCCTGGGGCCTCATTTATAAAATGTTGCGTATAAACCGTCCTAAATTTGTTCTAAGATCATTTCTCAAAAGTGCGTAAGTGCGATTCAGAGAAAACGAACGTTCGCACAAAAACACGTGCGTACGCCTCTCTTCCAGATGTGACATTTATAAATCGCAAATGATCTTGAAGTAGTGCACAGCTGACTGGTGTCAGATCTCCACCTTGTAAACACACTCTAATTAATATCATTACAATATAAAAGAGCACACGCCACTATCCGAATTTCTATACTTGAGAATGACAAGCACAAAGAAAAAAAAGAAGAAAAAAAAAAACTTTACTGAGTCTGAAATTGAGGTCCTGCGGGCGGAGGAAGAGGTTCATAATAAATATAGCTGCAAGCAGCAATTGCGGGGCCAAGCACTCCAGTGGCAAAATGAGAATCTAAGCATGGCATGGAGCATCAGACCAAATACGACAATGAGTAATAAAAGCAATTTTAGGATGATTGTAATTGAAATGGCTGAAAAATCATAAATACAACCACTAGTAATATGATTAAAATGCTTATCACTTTTGACCAACAGGTGGCGCTTTAATCAAATCATTTTGGTGTGTTTGTTGTCATAATGTCAAAGCTTTAAAGAGATATAGCCTCAGAGTCATTTTGGCGCCATTACTAAAATTTGTAGCAGCGCTGTACGAAAACGGTTTCATCTATCGACACGGAATCCATAACTCTTTGTCAGCACCGTCTGAAGATCATCTGACTCGATTTTGGTGAAAAACGGACTAACGGGTGGCGAGGAGTTAAAAAAAAGTAGGTTTTCAACATAAATCAAAATGGCGGACAGGAAGTTCAGCATACTCTGGCATATTTGGTATCTATGTTGTAGGCATAAGCCAAGGAATATTTTGATATCAGTTTCATTGCAATAGGCTAATGCAATCAAAAGTTATTAGCATTTTTATGAATGTAATTATTAATAGTTAATTAATGGTTTATTACTCTTGACCAATAGGTGGCGCTGTTACCAAATTGATGCGGCATGGTCAGTGTGAGGTCACAATGGCATATACAAAGTTTGGTGCAAATATGTCAAAGCTTTGCAGAGATACAGGCTCAGATGCATTTTGGCATCTTTCCAGCAAATTCGTTGATGCGCTAAATGAAAACCATTTCGTATATCGACACAAAATCCATAAATTTTTTCCAGTTTGGTCTGAAGATGATCCGAGTCAAATTTGGTGAAAATTGGACTAACGGTCTAGGAGGAGTTCGAAAAAGTAGGTTTTCAACATGAATCAAAATGGCGGACAGGAAGTTCAGCCAATTATAGCATAATTGGTATCGATGTTCTTGACATGTTCGAAGGAATCTAGCAACATCAGTCTCATTACAATATGATAATGTATGCAAAAGTTATTAGCATTTTTATAAATTGCTTTATAACTTTTGACCACAAAGTGGCGCTGCACCCAAACTTTTTGAGTACCATCAGGGCATGGTGCTTTTCGTAATAAAGTCAAAGCGTTCTTAAAATATTGCATTTTTTGACAAAATTCTAAATGGCCGACGCCCAAAATGGCTGACATGGGGAAATTTGGTAGGGTTCGACTCGGCATGCTCCACCGAATCTAAAGAGACCCGTTTTATGATTTTCGGACATACCATTCAGAAGTTATAAGCAAAAATATGCATTTTTCATATCTCCTGACCACTAGGGGGCACTGCGCCGAAACACTGCCAGTAGTCTCAGGTCATGATTGTTATAACACACACCAAGTTTGGTCTCAATACGCCAAACCGTTGCGGAGATATAGCCTCACATCCATTTTTACGTGCTTTTCGTCAAATTCATTTGCGCGATATTCGAGAACGGTTGGACGAATCAACTTGAATTCCATAACTTTTTGCCAGCATGGTCTGAAGATGATCTGAGCCAATTTTGGTGTGAATCAGACAAACAGTCTAGGACGAGTTCGAAAAAGTAAGTTTTACGAACAATTAAAAATAGCGAAGAAACTAAACCTTGCGATTTTTGAATTTTGGTGTTCATTCGACTCGACATGAGCCAAGGATTCAGAGGAAAAAAGAATTTTCCTTTTGTGCCTTATGGTTCAAAAGTTATTAGCATAAAGAAATTGAAACTTTGGACAAGACTCCAAACTTGCTGTGGTTAATGTTGAGACTGTCCGCTATCAGTGTGCCAAATTTCACT